CGAGGAGCACTAACATTGCTGACATTTGTCATAGAATGCAGTGAACCATTTTTGTGCATGGTCTGATAACTTGGCTCCTGTCTATCTGTGGCGGAAAATAAGCATTCCTTCGGAGTTGTTCAGATGAACCCTTGCTCTCCGCGGTTGGAATTGAACTATCGTTTTCTCTAAAATTCCTAGCATTTAATTTTAAACTCACTTTAAAGAACGAATTGTGAAGGTGTTGTCTTTTCGGGAAACCGTCGGATAATTGAATCGCAGAGGTGAAATGCCAAAAGCGGGATTTAGTATTTGCGGACTGCAAATCACAGGATTCATCCTTTAAGAGCGACTCTTCTCATGCTACCGAAGCTGTTATTCACTTGAAGTTTAAGTATTTCTAATGGTTTGATAAAGCAACGTTGCTTGATATTATTAGAAACGATAGACAATTGCCACCATACTTATTTTCATCATGCCGTCATGCATCTGAAGCATAGCCCAACGCTAATCTACCCCTTTCGCTTTTAAAATTGGGTCAATTAACACCGCTGAAGAAGTCGATGATAGTTATGACAAAATGCAATGCCGGCTTTGGTGGAAACAAGTTGGGCTACAAGGTTTTCCTTTTCCCATAACTTCTCAAATTACTTACTTTAATTATGTAACGGTAACTTTGTTTCCCGGCCAAAACTTACTTCAGCGCAGTAGAGAAATCATATGTAGGCAGAAAAGGGAAATACGACATGCTGTCAAACCCATTCTCAGCGTCAAAATATGCCTTTGCGCATTCTTTGCTTTAACAAACCCTTATTGTACCCATTTGTTAAGCTCATGCGAATTTTTACGGCCTACTTAAACAGACGAAGCTCATTCATCTTTCTAGATTTGTCCTTTGCATTTGCTTTTGACTAACCTTCGAAAAACTTGATTTCAAACCACTTAATTTAAAAGTGTTTGCCTTGGTTACATTAACCACTTCGGCGCACTTGTCCTTAAAGAGGAACGACAAACTTCCATGAAGTTTTCATGTGAAGGTGAGAACAGGTGGGAAGCACAGTATCGACTTCTGAGATGACAAATTTAGACCACTCAATATCAACCTGTTCACACTTGGATGCACATGCGATGGCCACAG